CCACTGGAACGCGTCGAATGCGTCGAAGACCGGCTTCTTCAGCTGCTAGCACATCTTCAGCTGCAGCCACTATAGATGGTATTCTTTCCTTCATCTCTTGCTCTGTTGTAACTGTTTGTCTAATTTTCTTCTGGTAATGTCTAATTATTTTTTTCTTTCCATATCTGTATAGCTTATTTATTTTTGAAATTCAAAAGACAATATCACTTTTTCCATGATTTTTCCCTGTAATTTTCTGGTTCAACTTTCAAGTTGGAGGTAAAAAGAAATAGGCCACTGTTTCTCACCTTGAGCCCCTGCTTCAAAGTAGAATATGCAAGATAAAACTACAGGAGGAGTCTCCTTCCATTCATTCAAAATGAGCCTAATTAGCTGTCTTATTGAATCGGCTATAACTTTGTTTCTTTATGTTCATCCTCATTGTGACAACTTCATTTGTAAAGTTATTGCATCAAACGAGAAGTGAAGGGTTAACATTCGTGGACAAAATCATGCTTATTGTTATGTTTCTTGGTAGAGAGATGTATTTTTGAGTTTAGGTGGCCTAGCTCTTCTTGGTTATTATCTCCAAACTGCTTTCCCTGCTTTAGGTGCACGAGATTGAGTTGATGATTCACGATGACTGTATCATGTTTATATATTTTTTCAAATATGTGCAGAACCGGTTGACAGTGATGATGAAGAACCTGGAGATGGATATTATACTGCAAAGTCATCAAAGAAAAGGGAAAAGAAGCGTCAAGAGCGGGAAGCACAAAGACAGGTATCTCAAACTTTAAAGCATTTGCCTTTTAAGAGTACAGGCATTTGCAACAAGTCCTCTCAAATGATAGAAATGGAAAGAGTACAAGTTTTTCCAACATAAGACACAACATTTTATGTACTCAAGTTTGTTAGTTAGGTCCTTGATGCAACTAAGAAGATTAGGAAAAAATTATAGATAGTTTAACAATTACTAAGATAGAAATGGAACAGTAGTATACTTTGAAGAGAATTAATAATATGGAACTGAATCTGCTTAGTGTGCAAATTTTCAATTCTTACCTGGTTGCTTCCCGTCACTTTGTGGTTGGGGTAATTTATCTCACATCTCGAGGGTGCAAAGCTAAAGAGTGGCACGATTTAACACATTTTGCAGTGTGTTAATAAAGGGATTCACCATAGAATTAAGTCTCCCTTCAAGAGTCACGAATTCCATCTTCATGACCTTAAGTTATACCACACATGACTTGTCTTTTAGATTTAGAATTGGATATAAGTAAGGCTGTGGGAACAACACTATTATTTTTTCTAGGAAATGTGCATTTCTATCGCATATCGCAACTTTTAGAAATTGAAAAAAATCAGGGTTGATCATAATCCTTCTCGTTGACTATATAGACTGAAGAAGCTGCTCGGGAATCAAAACAGACAAAGCAAAGCCACTATGATGATATCAGGAGGAGGAAGGAGGAGGAGCGTGAAGCTCAAGAGCGTGCACTGGTAAATATCTGTCTGCGTGGAATCACTTTATGTGTTGCAGAATTCTTATGAGAGAAGTGGAATAATTTGTGTAGGAAGAAGAAGCCAAGGCTCGACAGGCCAAAGAGGAAGAAGCTGCTGCATTAGAGTTTGAAAAATGGAAAGGTGAAATTTCAGTTGATGCTGAGGGAACAACTGAAAACGAAGTTCAAGATGGAAGCCAGGGTCTACTTTTTGATTTTGTGGAATACATTAAGGTAATTTCAATTCATGCTAGTTAACTATAGACGACTATGGGTAGTTCAGGTGCGCTTAAAGTCAACTACAACTAGAATGACACACCAAAGATTCATATGCTATATCTACATTTTTCCTCTTTCTTTTTCTTTTTCTTTTTCTTTTCACTTATGGTTGTGGTGACTGGTGAGATCTTCTCTTTCTTGATAAGTACATTTTCCTCTAACAGTACTAATTCTAAAAAAAAAACATTTTCCTCTAATTCGCACTAGAATTATTAACATTCGTTTAAACGTACTTAAGCTTGTACAATAAAATTATGGTCAGAAGATATTCACGATTTGGTGAAATATATTGACATGAGTAGGTCAAATCTTTTCATATGCAGAAACACAAATGTGTACCATTGGAGGATCTTGCGGCAGAATTCAAGTTAAGGACTCAGGTAATCACATTTTTTCTGTTACCCATTTCTGGATGCTGGTCACCATATCACTTTTTTTAATCGTGTAGAATAGTGCTCGGCATTTTTGGTTCTCTAAAAGGAAGCTAGTTCTTTTGCTGTAGTGAATTGTTGAGTAAAGTTGCTCATCTTCCTACACTTAAAACAGGATATATAGAATGTGTTTGGGATGGAAAATATTTCCAATTTTCCCATGGTTGGTTGTAGAAAAATAAGTTTCTTAAAATACCCTTCGGGGTGGCCCAGTGGTTTGGGCTTGGGACTTCCATGATGAAGGTCTCAAGTTCGAAACCCCTTGCCAACGAAAGCAAGGGGTTTGCCTTCTGGGTTGAGCTTGTCGCACCGGGCTTGCCTAGTGCGGGTTACCTCTCCTATGTGGTTTGCGAGCTATTGCATAGGAGCGGGGGTTTTACCCTGTGCGCACCTAAAGGTTAGCGGCTGCGGGTTTCCCTTGTCATAAAAAAAAAAAGAAAAACAAAAGAAAATTAAGTTTTAAAAATGAGGAAAATGACTTCTATGTTAGAAGTAAGGAGCACAAGTTCCATAAGTGACATTTCACATTGATTGTCTCCTCCCCACCCTCACCCCCGCCACCCCACACCTTTACCCCCAGCCCCACCTCTCGTAGTGTTTACCTAGATTATACGTAAATGCTTTTGAAACAGTATTGTTCATTTGCTTACTGAACAGCATAAAATAAGTAATAAAACCACTTATATAATTCTAGGAAAACATTTTCCTCCATACCAACACACCCGTTATGTTCTCACGATAAGCTATCCATTATTCTTGAATCACCCTCTCATTGCCCATTACTGTTTATTTCTTAAAATGCAGGAGTGTATCAATCGTATCAGCTCACTTGAAGAAATGGGTATCTCCTTACCTTATCTTAAAATTTCAATCAAATTTTACTGTTCTTTCTTGAAGCCATGAATTCTTGTTCTTTCCACGTTGACTGAACGATAGAATATTTCGATGTGCTTTTGATCAGGGAGACTTTCCGGTGTTATGGATGATAGAGGGAAATACATATACATCTCACTAGAAGAAATGAGAGCTGTGGCCGACTATATTAGACGTGAAGGTAGGGTGAGTATCTCACACTTAGCTAGTAAGTCTAATCAATTTATTGATTTGGAACCAAAAGTTGAGTTAGTTGAGGATATAGGCAGCATCGAGGAGGAGACAGTTGTTGCTTGAGCTTAATGAACTTGTTGTATGATTAATTTTATGGAAAATCAAAGGTTAATAGACATGCTTTACCCTAATTTACATGTATTTCCATCACATTCCCTTTCTAGAGGTGTTTATCGGTCAGTTCGATATTTTTGATTTTGGTTTTTAAAAATGTTATACCAATGTCATACAGAGAGATTTTGTTTTTTAAAAATGTTATACCAATGCCATACAGAAATAAATTCGCTAATTTTTTTTTTTCTTTTTGGGTTATCGCTTCGATGGGTGTATATCGATCGGTTTGATTCGATTTTATGTATTATTGGTTCGGTTTTTAAATATGATAAACCAATAACCAATAAGATATTTTCTATTGGTTTTTGGTTTATCGGTTTTGATCCTTAACAGTTTGATTTTCGGTTTAACCAATAAGAAAATACTTAAAAAATAAATATATGACTTTTCTAATAAATTTGATGTGAAAACACAATAATGTAACTTTACAAATACTCATAAAATAGAAACAATAATAACAAACATGAAAAGAACTATACAAGTGTAACACAAAGAGAAATTAAGAAGAATAAGATTCTTACTTTAGATTTTAACGTTTTGTATAATGCGAAATTGTGAATTCAAAGTCATTTTGTGAAGCGTGAATTGAAGGCTAAAGGACAAAGATAGTAACTAGTAAGCTATTGAGATTAATAAATAATATTTATGAACAAGTAAAAGTAGTAAATTACTAGTCTTCTTACTATTGAGATTAATATATAATATTTATGAACAAGTAAAAGTAGTAAATTACTAGTCTTAATGGGTTATCGGTTTACCCAATAACCCAATATTAAAAACCTATACTGAACCAATAATCCGATTTTTTTTTTATAAAACCATTAAAATATGTTAACCCAATAACAATAAACCAATAATAACTTTCGATTCAGTTTATCTATCAGTTCGATTTTTCACACCCCTATCTCACACACAAAAAAAGCCTATAGACGTTTATTAGTCCCTTGTTAAAATCTACTACACTAGTATTACTCCTATGGAAAAAATAAAAATTGAAAGGCCAACGTTATATATAAATCTAGACAATTATTTGGAACCAAGTAAATGCAAGAAAGATTGATTAATAAAAAGCACTAATTAGAATCATTTATAATAAAATCATTAAAAACCCGTTAACCCAATACCCCAATAGCACTTTTATCGATTCAATTTATCGGTCGGTTCAATTTTTACACACCCCTAATTCAAAGTTCTCCGGTATACTCTTTGAACTCTTGAGGGTTTCATAACTCTCCGGTATACACCGAAATTATCTTCTTTTGTTGAGTTTCATACCAAAACTATTATGGTGTGTATTTCTATTTAAATTATCATTAGCTATTGATTACTTTTCCTACTTAATATATCAGTTATTGGTGTATGTTAGTTCATGATTTTTGATAAGACTGCTTTCGATATATAAACAGGTCTGGGTAAAAAAAGGTTATAAGGCTACGATGTCGGTACGTTCATGCATGTTGCTACTTATGCTAAAAGGCTGTGACCCATTCACTGCCAAGCGCCCTACGCCACCCCGAGCATAAGATAAAAAAAGAAGCTAAAACCATACCACCTAAAAGAAAATCAAACAACATACACAAAATGCTAAGCAACAACTGAAAGATAATAAAGCACAAAGTTCTATTTGCACACACAACGATTGTTCCGGAAAATATAACATCATCCATAGCTACTATGCAGAGTAGTCGACAATCGACAAAGTACTATAAATCAAACCAGCAGAAAGCTAACACTAGTAAGTCCCTTTTTCTTTTTTCTTTGAGATGGATAAATCACTAGTAAACTTTATTATAACTTCACTGAGGATAGCATTTTCTGCACTGACACGACAAATATAAGAACTGCACGATGATTGATGAAGGGAATCAGAAACCATGAATTTTGATGTATTCTTTCTTCACGATTCCAGCCTGTTTCCAAAAGTTAAAAAGACAGAGATAATTAGAAACGATCAAAACATATATTTTCCAGTATCAGCCGTGGATGCAAGGATAACGTATTTAGCACAACTATGGTAGAGCATATACTAATATGAACACAAGTGAGAGTGAGTTATTGATGCAAAGAACAATCACCTGGACAAGAAATGTAGAAACGTTCTTCCTCTGATCACCCTGGAGTTGAATAACCTGTCAAAGTCCAATCACAAGTATATATGTTAATACACAACACTTAAAGTCGGTATAATGTTGTAACACATTGATAGACGGATATCAATCTCGCCAACACGAACCTGCCCTAGTTCTGGATCCTGCACAACAGTACCATTGCAGCAAAACTCTTTCTTAAGGTCCTTTAGTATTTTATTGTAGCTGAATTCTTTCTTCAATCCTTGCACAGTTGTCAGGCTTTTCCGACCATTTCTTTGTTGTATGCGAATGTGTACATAATCTTTTGTCCCAGCTCCAGAATTATCAGCATTTGCCTCAGCAAAGGGATCTAATGAAGACATCAAAACAAGGGCGAATGAATCAGTTATGAATCATAATTGGAAAAACCCACCCACCCACAACCAAAACTAGCAAGATAATTTTTTTTTTTTTGCTCCATTTGCATCTAATCCCGACAACCACCACTATCCCAAAGCAAGTTGGCACGGCTATATATAGTCCACACTAGCCATGTCGCTCCATTTGAACTAAAAATTGTCACTTGCAAATTTTTAAAGTAATCTTACAAAAAATAAATACCAATTCAACTGAGAAATAATAATACATCAGACAAGTTGCATACCAAAAGCAGCGGGAACTTGGAGGTCGAGATCAGACATGAAACTTTGCTGAGAAAAAGACAACCTTGCTCAAATCACCAAACTTGGATGCTCAGATCTAGAGTAGAAGAAAGGGCTTCATCAATTATACAAACAGAAATCATAAGCAAACTTCCCCGCAAAGAGGGGGATATGAAAGAGATGGCATCAAGTAAGATTGCAGGACAGAGGCACCAATATATCAGGCATGAAACCGCATCAAACAACTAAAATAAGGCCAACAAAATAAAAGATCTACTAAGCTCTGTATTATGATCGACAAGAAAGCAGTACTTCAAAGAAAATCTTATCATTCAAAGCATGATGACAACAACAAATCAAAGGCGTTAGAATAACAACATCACGCAAAAAAAAAATGAAGACCCCCAGAACATATCTTTTTCTTTAAAATTGAAAACAACTAGACAAAGATACTGACAAGATAATAGTTCCTCAAAGAAACTTTTCATAATAAATGAAGCAATGAAAACAGGCTGAATTTGCACTTAAAAAGTATTTAAACTTGATCAGATATGCCCTTCGTTAATAGTTTAGCTCACAAAAGCCCATATTGCTCAATAGTTTGTCCAAATATGCAATTGATTAAACGATTAATAAGCAGAAAAGCCTAAACATGCCCTTAAAGTATGTGAAATTGAACTGATATACCCTTCGTTAAGGTTACAAACACCAGGCTAAATACAAATCGAATTGTTAAATAAAATTGCAAAAAAGGTAACAATTTCAAATAAAAATCCGATTCTCTATTAATTTAGGGGATCCAAAGATAATCAAGATTAACACACACTAAGCGAAAGCCATAGAAATCAAATCAAATAAATTCCCAAAAAAGAAGCCAATTTTCAAATAAAAATCAGATTTACATCACATCTAAAATTTAACGAACACTAACCTAAATCTATTAAAATCATATCACTGCTAAATGAAAATTCCCAAACAGAAAACTACAAAAACAGTTAATTTAGCAAATCATCAAAAATACACACATGTTTGCTAAGATCAAAATTCCCAAAAACAAACCATCTTTCAAACAAAAATTCAGTTTTTTTTATATACAGTTTAATTTAGCACATCCAAAGGCTACCCTTTAGAAATCGAATCACTGTTGATCAAAATTACCCAAAAAATACATAAAAATCCGATTTTTATCACATGTAAAGACTATAAATTAGTTTTTTTAAGCAGATCTAAGGATTATCAAGATTAACAAACAATTTGCAATTAGAAATTACCTGAAAAATTAGGGTTTTGAGAGAGACCCTTTACAGATTCGGATAAGTCTCGAGCAAAATAGAGAGAAGTAAATTACAGGGAAAATTAATAGGCCTTTCGGGTTTTGGGCTTATGTCGGTTGAGGACTTGGGCCTCATTTATATTCAATTGGGCCTTACTCACCCATAGTTATCCCTATTCTTTTCCAAAAATCCCTTTGAGCAACTTTCACATATAAACATAAAAATCAAATTTAGATGCTATAACTATAATTTGTATAATTGCGCTCCATAGCAAACTTATCAGATTGTATGACTCGCTGGCTCCTCTTCAGATTTGTATAATTTCGCTGACAGCCATTTGTATAAATCGTTGTCAGCCTTTCATGTGTATAAATCGTTGGCAGCCTCTCAATTCAATTTTATGTGTTTGTATATCTGCATAAAATTTGAATTTGTATACAATTGAATCGAAATAAAATGTTTGTATATCAAATCTCTCTCTCTCGCTTTATACAAACATAAATTATACATTGTATTTTGTATAATCTGTGTTTGTATAAAGCCAGAAAGAAAGAAAGGCAAAAGAGAACTAGACAGGGGAATATTTATATTGTATAATTATAAGTGTATAAGACGAAGATATATGTATTTGCATGTGTATATACAATTTTCTCTCGCTTTATACAAACAGAAACGTAATTTATACATTTATGTTTGTATAAGCGAGAGAGGCGAATGAGAGATTGGCGAGCGAGATCTGGGAGAGTGGAGAGCGAGATCTAGGGAGAGAGGGGAACGAAAATATATTTATATACACAATTTTCTCTTGCTCTATACAAACACAAACACATTTTATACATTTGCGTTTGTATAAAAGCGAGAGAGGCGAGGGAGAGACTGCCGAGAGTGGCGAGCGAGATTCACCAGAGAGAGGCGAAATAGCAACAGTTTGCTACGGGGTACAATTAAATCAAAACTGTGGTTATGACATTCAATTTGAATTAATAGTTTGCTATTATATTCAATTTTTCCTAAAATATAAGGATAACAGACACATCATCAACGTCTCGATATATCGCGTTTCGATATATTATCTTTGTTGATACAAGATATATGTCTTGATACATCGTTCAATGTCTTGTTACATCGTGTCCAGATACATTACTATAGTTGATACAATACATATATGTCCATAGGCATCGCATAAGAGTGATGTATCCGAAAATAGGAGAGAGAGTGAGGAAAATAGAGATTTCTATAAAAAATTTAAATGGTAGGAAATTTTAGAGACTACGATAAAATAAATTGTGTATTTAGGTAAATTTTTTTTATTTATATAGGGAGTGAGGACGTTGAGTCGGGGGCATAGGCGGACCGACGTTGAACAATGGGAATGCTCGTGAACCTGTTAATTTCGAAAAAAAGTTATAATTATATCTTGAGAAATTATGATTTATTTAATTGAAAAAGGTCGGAATGTCTTTAAATTATGTGAAATTGAAGAAAAATATTTCCAGTCAATAGTTTAGTTTAAGCCGTCAATAGTTTGGTCAAAAAATGTTCTTGTTATTCCTTTAACTCAAACAATGAAAAATCTCGTCGAGTGTTCAATGAAAAATCTAGATTTTATTTAACGATGAAAAAATGCTTGTACTCCTTGTGTATTAAAAGTTGCATTCAATTTTTGTATGCTAAAGTTGGCATAAGTGAGTCAAAACTTTTAACATATGACATAAATAAGTTTTTTTTTAAAGTTTGATGACAAATTTAATTTTTTTTCTAACACATTATCTTTGTTGATAAAAGAAATGTCATGATAATCTGAAATGCATATTTGCATTTAGAAATAACGTATTAGTTAATAATATTTCACATTAATTATTCTTTTAATAATATTACAAAACTTACCATTTTTAGGAAGATAAATAAATCTTTTCCTAATCAACTAGGTTTAGGTTATAGATTATTCTTTTTCTAAAAAAATATTATATTTCATACTTATATACAGTTATACTTATAAATAATTTTTAGAAACTTACCATTTTTAGGAAGATAAACAAATATTTTCCTAATCAACTAGGTTTAGGTTACGGATGCCTATAAATAGATACCCTCCATTTGTTTCTATTATACAAAAAAATATTTTCGTATGTTCTAAGTACGTTCTTTGTTTACTCATATTAGTTAGTGATCTTGTTACTAGCAAAAAAAACAAAAAACTTTTCTTTACTCATATTAGTTAGTGATCTTGTTATTAGCAAAAAAAATGGCGATATATTATGTCCAAAATCCCAATAATTGGCAGTACGTGACTAATGTTCACCATGTCAGACAAATAGATGCCCCTAGGTACATTAGTTGGTCATTTCCTCCTTCCGGATATATTAAGATCAACGTAGATGGAAGTTTTATGCCAAATTCAGGATTAGCGGGATATGGAGGCATTGCAAGAGACGATAGGGGTAGGTGGCTAGGAGGATTCGTGGGGCGATTAGGTGTGGTAACAAAGTCGTGCCTCACGGCAGAATTGTGGGCCATACACGGCGGACTGACCGTGGCGAAGAACTTCAACTTGACGAACGTCATCATCGAGACCGACTCGAAAGTAGCATTGATGCTGATGATTAAGAGAGAAGCCGTCAACAATCACCCCGACTGCAACGTGATAGAAGAGTGTCGGCGTCTCATGTTAGAGCTTGGGGTCTCCATAATGCATACTCTAAGGCAAGGAAACAATTGTGCGGATCACCTGGCGAAACTGGGAAGGATGCAACAAGATGAAGACCTAGTAATACTACATCGTCCCCCACATTCCATGCACCAACTTATTCTCGCGGACATGGCTCACGTTGCATACCCTAGGTACCCAAAACATGTACGATAGTTTTAGTATATATAGCACAAAAGAAAAAATATAAAATTGTATGTAAACATTTGTTAATGTTACCAAGAATATAATGAAATGTATTTTTGTTAATTATAATGTGGGAAGATGATGTTATGAATATAATTTTGGTGATTTGTTAATGAATGGACTATCACTGTTTAGACACTCGTAATAAGTTGATAGTTAGTTGCATGGTAAAAGCTATTTTATTCAATTGCATTCGATTTCAATTTGTTTGTATTACTTTCCTTTTCTATTTAAAAAAGAATGTATCTTTCCTTTTTTGGCAATTGTTCAATTATTACTTTCCACGTGACATGTTTATAACCACAAGATTAAAGGTCGTTTTAGAACATTCTACATATCAGTGTTATCAAAGGCGAAAAGCGCAAAAAAACTCTATCCATTGGGGTTTTAAGCCCAAAGCGCAAATAAAGTGTAGGCTTTTAATAAAAAAAAAGGCGGTGCAAAGGGAGAAAAAAAATCCAAATCTGTATGTTTAGACTTTAGTCCATTATAAACATGAATGACAAATATATGAACAAATAAATTTGAAAAAAGATTTAAGATAAAGTGAAATATCAATTGTTAAGTGTCACCTCGTTAGAAGAGGCTCATTGACAAGGAAAAATATGCCTTAGAACCTTGATGACGACACTGAATTGCATCGTGTTAAGCCTCGCTTTAGGGCTTAAGCGCATTTTGATCACACCTTCGATAATACGTCCACACATCTTTAGTTTAAGACCACAAGATTCAAAAGTCTTTCTTACTTTCTTAAACTCCATGTCAAGTTAAAACCAGACAAACAAAGTGAAACAGCGGATATATGGATGAATTTCCAGATTTTAAATTTTACCCAATGTGTATAACACCAAGTTGACTCACTTGGTGTTTGGTGATGACTTGATGTTAAATCAATAGCTAGACTGATGGAAACAATTAGGTACTTTAGCAAGGTCACAGGATTGGTAGCAAACATAGGATAAATCCAACATTTTTAACATCAAAATGTTGACATTATTATTCACTAAAAGAGAAACATGAAAGTTTATGATCTGTTGGGAAACATCACAGGATCACAAAAGGAAACAAACTAGTTCATGAACAAAACACTGCTGCAAACTGACCAAAGACACAGGCACTACCATTGACAACAGACCCCTCTAAAAACCACCACGGAGACGGAGGACAAGGTGCAAAGTAGACTCCTTTTGGATGTTGTAGTCAGCCAAAGTCCTACCATCTTCGAGCTGCTTCCCTGCAAAGATCAGCCTCTGCTGGTCTGGTGGGATTCCCTCCTTGTCCTGAATCTTGGCCTTCACGTTGTCAATAGTATCAGAACTCTCCACCTCCAAAGTGATGGTTTTCCCAGTCAAGGTCTTGACAAAAATCTGCATACCTCCCCTGAGTCTCAACACAAGATGAAGGGTCGATTCCTTCTGAATATTGTAATCGGCTAATGTCCTTCCATCTTCCAACTGCTTACCAGCAAAAATCAACCTTTGCTGGTCTGGAGGGATGCCCTCTTTGTCCTGAATCTTGGCCTTAACATTGTCGATGGTGTCGGAGCTCTCAACCTCAAGTGTAATAGTCTTGCCAGTCAAGGTTTTGACAAAGACCTGCATTCCACCACGGAGACGGAGGACCAAGTGAAGAGTTGACTCCTTCTGGATATTGTAATCAGCAAGGGTCCGGCCATCCTCAAGCTGCTTGCCAGCAAAGATCAACCTTTGCTGGTCTGGGGGAATGCCTTCCTTGTCCTGAATCTTGGCCTTAACATTGTCAATGGTGTCGGAGCTTTCAACCTCAAGGGTAATTGTCTTTCCAGTGAGGGTTTTAACAAATATCTGCATCCCACCGCGGAGACGGAGCACCAAGTGAAGAGTGGACTCCTTCTGGATATTGTAATCAGCGAGAGTACGGCCATCTTCAAGCTGTTTTCCGGCAAAGATCAGTCTCTGCTGGTCTGGAGGGATGCCCTCCTTGTCCTGGATCTTAGCCTTAACGTTGTCAATGGTGTCTGAACTTTCCACCTCAAGGGTGATCGTTTTCCCAGTGAGGGTCTTGACGAAAATCTGCATACCACCACGGAGACGGAGGACCAAGTGAAGGGTGGACTCCTTCTGGATGTTGTAATCAGCGAGGGTTCGACCATCTTCGAGCTGTTTCCCTGCAAAGATCAGTCTTTGCTGATCAGGGGGAATCCCTTCCTTGTCCTGGATCTTGGCTTTGACATTGTCAATGGTGTCTGAACTTTCTACCTCAAGGGTGATGGTCTTTCCTGTGAGGGTTTTCACGAAGATCTGCATCTGCATGATACAAAATTTAACCAAAATTAGCACACAAACTCAAATTGCTGATAAAGATTTGAGTTTTTTAAAACATAATTGAAAGTTTTTTCAGATCCTAAACACAAACCAACACACAGACGGCACAAAATACCGAAAATAAAACGAAACAGCAGCTACCACACAACCAAAATAAGCACACAAATTCGTCTTGGTGCATACACAAAGCTAATAAACGAAAGCAGGAGTTTGTGTTTTTGAGTTGAACGACCTTTCTAATTATAAACACAGAGCCAGATAGCACAAAAGACAGAAAATTCAACTTGTGAGTATAAAAAAAGTACTGGAACAAAATCAAGATTGAATTTTTAAAACCTTTCTGATTTTAAACCCACAAAACAGATAGAATAAATCGTAAAACTAAACGAAGAAACATCCATACAACCAAATTAGGAAGACAAATCCAACGCAGCATATATAACAGGCAAGATAGCCCGATACACAAAGTATCCCATCCTGAGCAGGATCCGGTCTGGGAAAGGGACGCACCCAATTAGGGCTATGCAAGCATTAGCAACTGCTTCCACATCTCAAACATGTGACCCACAGGTCAACACGGAGACAACTTTACCCAAGCCATATACAAAAAGCTATAAAACAAAATCAAGATTGAGTTTTTATAATATATTTAGAAGGTTTTTCAAATAATAAACACAGATCCAATAGTATTAAGCACAAAAATCAATTTGGTACATACACAAAACACTGAAACATAATCAAGATTGAGTTTTTATAATAGATTTAGAAGGTTTTTCAGATCATAAACACAGATTTAATAGAATTAAGCACAAAAATCAACTTGGTACACTGAAACATAATCAAGATTAAGTTTTTAACTTTCTGATTCTAAACACCAGAATCAACAAAACAGATAAAAGAAAATATAGAAAATTCAACTTGTTTCACATTCAAAGCATTGAAACAGAATCAAGATCAAGTTTTTAAACTTTCAGATCATAAACACCACACCCAAATAAAACAAATAGCATAAATTACAGAAAAATCAAACCAAGAACATTAAGAAAAAGGAAAACTATAATACCTTAGTTTTTTTTTTTTTGAAGAATCTGAGGAGATTGAGAAATCAAAGGATGAATACTACAGGGTTACAACAAAGAGGCTCCTTTTATAGGTTCTAACGGCCAACTTGAGAAGAAATTGCATAATATAGTAACCTATAATAGGATGACACGTGTCCTTTTGAGTTTTGTATCCAATTATTTGAACCTAAAGTTTACCTCTTTTTTGTCCTTTTCTTTGATCAGTGGAGAACAATTAGGTGCAACTTCCTATATAATTATCAATCCAAAAACTTGAAGAACATGACTTTCTTGTTGTGTAATTTGGGGTTGAAATTTACTTATTCCATTAATTTAACTTTAGGTGCTATTGCACTTCTTCTATTTTGGGTGTAACAAGTTTTACCGGCAATATTCATAAGTCGTTAATTTAACCGTCCCTTAGAGATAGAGTTGAGAAATACCATGCATGATAGAGGCATAGAGCCATCCTTTCTATGAGTCTCACCCCACTAACTAATACACTTAGATTTATTGCTAAAATATTGACTTCTGAAGAGACATTGTTCGTACCTTCTTGGCTTAGGCTTCCAACCAAACAACATGGCATTGTCGTTCTTGTGACTAACCGAAGCTAAGCACTTGAAAAGCGTGCTAAGAAAGGTTGCTTCTATTAGTAATGAAGATAATTGATTGAGCACTCAATCTTAGGAAGTAGTTTTATATTAAAATGAGTCGAGCATTCATGACTTGAAAAAAAAAATCTGGATCCGCCACGGGCAATAGGTTGTTCCTTTTCTTGAGTATTGGCTGCATGAGTATGAAAAAAGATGAATTTCTTACCTACTATCCGCGCCTCTGCTTGTGAAGTTGTGATGAAGTTCAGGGTTAGAGATATTGATGTTGTAGGTTGACAGGAACCAAAGTCTCTCATCAAACTGATGGATGCATCATAAAAGAAAAAGAGAAAAAAGTTATTCATGATAAAGCATATGTACAGTTGCAACTTACAAATACTAGTAATAACATAAGGCAAATGACAAAGAGAGCCTGCCTAACCAATTATCAAATTCTGCTATTCTTAGGTAAACATCATTTGGATCGAACGAACAAATTCTATGTCCAGACATTGAAGATCACCAACTGCACAATTGCAGATATCAATATGTCTAAGAACTTAAGATCAAAGTTATATCACTGATTGCAAAGATCAGACAATTCAGGACCAAAAATTTAAGCATTGTTACAAAGAAATTAAGCTACAAGAGAAGATAGTTTCTGTTCCAGTAAAAACATGAGAGTTCACGAGTCTCTTGGGACACATACAAGTAAACAGACTAGTTCATGAACGAAACATAGCAACAAACAGACCCAAGACACCAACAGCAACAGACTCCATCAAAAACCACCACAGAATCGGAGGACAAGGTGCAAAGTAGACTCCTTCTGGATGTTGTAATCTGCAAGGGTCCGGCCATCCTCAAGCTGCTTTCCAGCGAAGATCAATCTCTGCTGGTCTGGGGGAATGCCTTCCTTATCCTGGATCTTGGACTCAACATTGTCAATGGTGTCGGAGCTTTCAACCTCAAGAGTGATCTTCTTCACGAAAATCTGTATTCCACCATGAAGAGGGAGCACCAAGGTGAGAGTGGACCCGTTTTGGATGTTGTACTCAAAGAGGGGATGACCATCTTCAAAGCTGCATGCCTTCAAAGATCAACCTCTGCTGGTCTGGGGGAATGCCTTCCTTGTCCTGGATTTGAGCCTTTACATTGTCAATCGTGTTGGTGACGTCCACATAGAGGGTGATTGCATGTCCGCTGAGGGTTTTGACAAAGACCTGCATTTGCATACACAACATTTAAGCACACAAACTCAAATAGGTACAGAAACAAAGCTCTATAAAATGAGATGACAGATTTGAGTCTCTGAAATAGAATTAACAGACTTTTCAGATCATAAACAGACTCAACAGATAACATAGCACAAAAAATAGAAAATAAAATGAATCACCAGCCGCTATCATGGGATTCAGCCAACTGTCTTGATCATGGAATATCATTGAGAAATAGCAATCCGGGTTATCAAAGGATTTCCTGCAATTATTTCTAGGATGGAACAGAAATGGTGATATTGTTCCTCCATCATCAATATTTGGAAAGTATCGTGATCATCCAGCAAGAAGGGTTCCAATTTTTTCAAAACAAAATAAGTCAAAAGGTATTTCAGATCATAAGCACAGACACAACACAACAACACAGAGAACACAAATTACATAAAATTTAAGGGAGGAGCAGCAGATATTCATTAACAAGCGCACAAAATTCAACTTGGTGCATACACAAAAACATTGAAACAAAATCAAGATTGAGTTTTTACAAATAGAAATAGAAGGTTCTTCATATCCTAAACACAACACATATCCAACAGAAACACACGGCAAAAAATACAAGTATAATCCCACAAGCAGAGTCTGGGGAGGACAGGGTGTTCACGAAATCTCCTATAGAAACTCAGCTCAACAACAACAACATATCCATTGAAATCCACCAAGTGTGGAGGTGGAGAGACTGTTTTCAGAAGACCCTCGGCTCAAGTGCATCAATCCAAGTAAAAAGAAGAAAACATTGAAGAAAGCATAGGCGTCAATAAGAAAAATCAGTGTAAAAGCCTACAAGAAAGAAAAAATAACATCAAAATAGTATAAAATCAGCTCACACAAACACAAGCTACAGAAAATAAAACGAAGCAGCAGTTATCATACAACAAAAGTAATGCATACAGAAGGTTGAAACAAAATCAAGATTGAATTTTTAGATCAGAATTAAATGGTTTCTCAGCTCATAAACACAGAACTAATGAAACAAACAGCACAAAATACAGAAAATTTAAAATAATAAGAAGAAAAACTATAATACCTTGAGAGGTTTCTTTGAAGAATCTGAGGAGATGAGAGATCAATGGATGAATGCTATGGGGTTACAGAGAGGCCCCTTTATATGTGCTAATATATAATTAACAAATATAACATGAAGAATATTCGAATCCAACAAACGTGGTTGCCATAATTTCAATCTGCTCTATATATTTTCCATTAGGTGTTTGAGTATGGAAGCTCTACTAATTTGAATTTGTGTTCATTAGGGTATGGTACTTATATTGGAGTCAACTAATCCAGATTCGCATTTCGGGAGAAGTGTTCCCTATCAAAAAAATTCATACTTTAAGATTTGAAATCTAGATAAGGGAGAAGCAACCCCATCAGTTTACTTAATAAAATAAATAAACTGAATTTAAGGACACAAAATTTTCAAACTGAAAAATCAATATAAGGACACAATACCACGAAGTTTTGAACTGAAAAATTTAACTTGAATGGATAAGAAGAAGAACTAACATTTGACTACCAAATGATGCACTGCAGCAGACGAGGTTGTTCATCCCTTAATTATAACTAAGGCCTCGATTTTCGAGTCTTGTGTGTTGTGTATGGAAAAATTCTTGGCAGGGAGTATTTCCAGGAGTGGGGCTTACCAGTGAGATTTCAAATTAGTCGGGCTCAAACCGTTCACCGAATGAAGAAAAACACAATATCTAACCACCTTTTTCATATCACAGCTAAATTGCAAACGAGGTATTGGTTTCGAGCCTAGTGTTGGGAAAATTCTTAGTAGAAACCGTTTCTCACAAAAGATCTCTATACTGTTTGAATCCAAATTAGTCGGGCTCCTGTGTAACTTAAACTATCATTTTTTTCCCTCCATTTTCACCCTTCTTGAGCCATGACATTTATGAAATGTGGATATCAATTGGTTTTAGGGGTTGGCAGATCTGGATCCGCGATTAATTTATTTAACAGATCTGAATCCGCGATGCGATGTGCTCATACATTCACGCGTTGTGCTCTTACCAGTAGACTAAAGCATACGGCATTTACCCTCAAAAATTGCTCAATTATCAAAAAGAAAAGAAATGCACAAATCAACACAGAATTAAAAAAAAACATGACCAGATCATCACACAGTTACCAAGAGTTGCAATTGTTGAACGTGTTTCTTTCTTTATACATATGTTAATTTCCTATCAGATCATCATCACCATGTGTTTCATATGTTACGAATTTATAATGGAAGAAGTCCTGTTTGTTGTAAGATTACCGAAGGAAAGAATGGTCATAAATTTGGATTTTATTGTTTTCTTCAAATTTCATATGTGAATATAGCGAAAGCAAAGAGATGATGAAACAAAAGCTTTGATGGACTTAGGTACCGGGAAGATCAACTAAAGAGAAGCTAAGTCTTTTTTATATTGCTTGTGGTCAGGAACCCGAAACTAACACCATTCAATTCATGTTGTTCCGTTGCTTGTGGCCAGGAAGCCAGTTTGCACACGTGAAGTGTCTGGACATGATCTCGAATTCAATAGCTCAACAAGGGTGCAAATTTCACGCATCGGTGTGTCTTGTATTGGTCTAAGGAAGAACCTAAGCTAACACATTAGTTCATGAGCTTGTCAAAAGTCCCAATTGTTTATAGTTTGCTACAGTAGTGTTATCGTTGCTAGCTCTATTATCTTTGGTATGTACCAGTACTATTATGAGTTGGCTTATAAGATGACCTTCTGATGGCCAGAAGACAATGCCAACAACAACAATGTACTGAGTATAGTTTGATGAATGGGGTTTGAAGAGAGTGGTGTATATGACACCGTGAACCCTGAGCATTTACTCATGGACCAAAAGTAAAAAGGTTATTACCAGCAAATCCAGAACATAAGAACAAACTAGGCATAACACAAGTGGAGCATATACAAATAGAAGACGCCAAGTTATTTATTTTCTAAGAAAGAGATCATATTGATTGATGATTCTTTCAATCCAGCGAAATGGAAGGCTTTGGCATGTATCAAAATAAGGAGTACCTGAGATTCATTGTGAACGTCGATGGGTGTTCCTCTTGCCAGGAATCATGGTATCCCAGAGTTTCAAGCTTATGAACCCAGAATCAACTTACAAGATGCACCTTCAGGCCAACAGAGAGAAGAGTAGACAACCACAGCAGCATAGTATTCCACATTCTTAGAGTGCGCTGATTTTATACAAGTTAAATTGGAGGATCTTAACATTGCATCATAAAAAAAAGATCAATATTCAGGGGATTTCAAGAAGAATGCAGTTGCAAAGACTACTGCGCAATTGCAGATATCGTTGGACAGAACAAATTCTCTGTCCAGTAATCACCAACTGCACAATTGCAGATATCAATTATGCAGAACACACAGAGATATCTAAGAGCTTAATATCAAAGTTCGAGATATATACTTCTCACTGATTGCAAAAGATAAGATAATTCAGGACCAAAACCTCCCCTTCTCATATGTTAATGGAATTAGGAAAGAATTTGCAACTAGTTGTAAGTTCAACATTAAAAGCTTAAACTGAATGTAAGTTCAACAAGGGCCAAAATCAGGTTAAACCAGCAAAGTATCTAATCTTAGGAAGGGATTACATAATAAGAGTTGTGTGTACAAAGAAATTAAGCTGCAAGAGAGATGATGACTGATCTAATTTTTTTCTCACATGATACACAAGTAGAGAGATCTCTTTCTGTCCCAGCAGCAAGATATAGTAGACAATCCAACAAGATAGCAGTGTAATAAAAAGGTTTACTATGTTTGACAACACAGAATGTCAGATATATAAACTGAACTTCAAACGAAGTAAGAAAAGAGAAATATGCCACAACATTAAAGATCATCAACAACACAAGAGCTTAAAAGACCAAACTTTGAGATTATACTATTCTTCTCTGAGATTGCAAAAAGAAAAAGACTCAATACCAAACATAATTAAACCAAACTAGTTCCTTATTATTCACTATAAGAAAAACATGAGAGTTCACAAGTCTTCTAGACTCTCTTGGGACACATCACAAGGTCACAAGTAAACAAAACGAAACACAGCAACAAACAGACCCAAGACACCAACAGCAACAGACCCCTTCAAAAACCACCACGGAGACGGAGGACAAGGTGCAGAGTAGACTCCTTTTGGATGTTGTAGTCCGCCAGAGTCCTTCCATCTTCAAGCTGCTTCCCTGCAAAGATCAGCCTCTGCTGGTCCGGTGGGATTCCCTCCTTGTCCTGAATCTTAGCCTTCACATTGTCAATGGTATCAGAACTCTCCACCTCCAAAGTGATGGTTTTCCCAGTCAAGGTCTTCACAAAAATCTGCATACCTCCCCTGAGCCTCAACACAAGATGAAGGGTCGATTCCTTCTGAATATTGTAATCGGCTAATGTCCTTCCATCTTCCAATTGCTTGCCAGCAAAAATCAACCTTTGCTGATCTGGTGGGATACCCTCTTTGTCCTGAATCTTTGCCTTAACGTTGTCAATGGTGTCGGAGCTTTCCACCTCAAGGGTAATAGTCTTGCCAGTCAAGGTCTTCACGAAGATTTGCATCCCACCACGGAGACGCAGGACCAAGTGAAGGGTTGACTCCTTCTGGATGTTGTAATCAGCAAGGGTCCGGCCGTCCTCAAGCTGCTTTCCGGCAAAGATCAACCTCTGCTGGTCTGGTGGAATACCTTCTTTGTCCTGAATTTTGGCCTTAACATTGTCAATGGTGTCAGAACTTTCCACCTCAAGGGTAATAGTCTTGCCAGTCAAGGTCTTCACAAAGATTTGCATCCCACCGCGAAGACGAAGGACCAAGTGAAGGGTTGACTCCTTCTGGATGTTGTAATCAGCAAGGGTCCGGCCATCCTCAAGCTGCTTTCCGGCAAAGATCAATCTTTGCTGGTCTGGGGGAATGCCTTCCTTGTCCTGGATCTTGGCTTTAACGTTGTCAATAGTGTCGGAGCTTTCAACCTCAAGGGTGATGGTCTTTCCGGTCAAAGTCTTCACGAAAATTTGCATTCCACCACGAAGACGGAGCACCAAGTGAAGGGTTGATTCCTTCTGGATGTTGTAATCAGCAAGGGTCCGGCCGTCCTCAAGCTGCTTGCCGGCAAAGATCGGCCTTTGCTGGTCTGGGGGAATGCCTTCCTTGTCCTGGATCTTAGCCTTAACATTGTCAATGGTGTCGGAGCTTTCAACCTCAAGGGTGATGGTCTTTCCTGTCAAAGTCTTCACGAAAATTTGCATTCCACCACGAAGACGGAGCACCAAGTGAAGAGTGGACTCTTTTTGAATGTTGTAATCAGCGAGGGTCCGGCCGTCTTCAAGTTGCTTGCCGGCAAAGATCAGCCTTTGCTGGTCTGGGGGAATGCCTTCCTTGTCCTGGATTTTAGCCTTAACGTTGTCAATGGTGTCTGAGCTTTCCACCTCGAGGGTGATTGTCTTTCCAGTGAGGGTTTTGACAAAGATCTGCATCCCACCACGAAGACGGAGCACCAAGTGGAGAGTTGACTCCTTCTGAATATTGTAATCGGCTAGAGTACGGCCGTCTTCAAGCTGCTTGCCTGCAAAGATCAGCCTCTGCTGGTCCGGGGGAATGCCTTCCTTGTCCTGGATCTTGGCTTTAACGTTGTCAATGGTGTCTGAGCTTTCCACCTCAAGGGTGATAGTCTTTCCAGTGAGGGTTTTGACAAAGATTTGCATCTGTACACAAAATTCAACAAAATTAAGCACATATACTCGAATAGGCACAGACACGAAGCTACAAAACGAGAGGACAGATTTTGAGTTTCTGAAAATAGAATTAACAGATATTTCAGATCACAAACCAAAACCTAACAGAACACAGCACAAAATATAGAAAATAAAATGAATCAACAGCCACTATCACAGGACTCAACCAATTGTCTTGATTGTCGATTATCATTGAAAAATAGGAACCCAGGTTATCAAAAGCTTTCCTTATTTCTAATACGGAATGGAGTCAATCATCCTTTTGGTATCTTATTGGAACAAAATGGTGATATTTTCACCCATTGATCAATAATTCCAATTATTGAAAAGTATCATAATCATCATCCAATAAGAAGGCTTCCAATTTTTTCAAAACAAAATAATTAACAGGCTTTAGATCATAAACACAGACCAAACAGCACAAATAACAGAAATTTAAAGGGATAAGCAGCAGCTATTTTAATGAGCACACAAAATTCAACTTGGTGCATAAACAAAAACATTGAAACCACAATCAAGATTGAATAGTAATTGCGAATGAGCAAGTAGGGGGCAAGGGGAAGTGGATGAATTCTTGGAAAAAGATTTTTACAAATAGAAATAGGAAGGTTCTTCATATCCTAAACAAAGATCCAACAGAAACACACAGGTAAAAATACAACATAGATAGTGTAAGTGATCCCACAAGTGGAGTCCGGAGAGGGTGTATGCTATTTCAACCACAAACTTACCTCACACAAACAAAAAAAAAAACAGAAAACAAAACGAAGCAGCACTTATCATACAACCAAAATAACACATACAGAAGTTGAAACAAAATCAAGGTCGACTTTTTAGATCATAATTAAATGTTTTTTCAGCTCATAAACACATGAGCATTAAAACAAATAGCACAAAATACTGAACATTGAAACAAAATCAAGATCCAATTTTTTTAGATCAGAATTAATGTTTTTCAGCTCTCACATGAGAAATAAAACAAATAGCACAAAATACAGAACATTGAAACAAAATTAAAATCCAATCATTCTAGATCAGAATTAAAACGTTTCTCAGGTCATAAATACAGAAAATTAAGGCACACACAAGGTTGAAACAAAATCAAGATTGAATTTTTAGAACAGAACTAAAAGCCCTTTCTGATTCTTAACCAGACCCAAACACAACAAATATCACAAATTACAGAAAACTAAAGTATACAGAATATTGAAACAAAATCAAGATCCAATTTTTTTAGATACCCCATAAACCAAATAGCACAAAATACAGAATACTCAAACAACATAAAGATTGAATTTTTAAAACAGAATCAAACACCCTTTCTGATTCTAAACACAGACACAGTAAAACAAATAGCACAAAATATAGAAAAATTAAACAAAAAAAACTAACAGAAGGAATACTGTAATACCTTGAGAGGTTTTTTTTGAAGAATCTGAGGAGATGAGAAATCAATGAATGAATTGGGGTTACAGAGAGCCTCCTTTTATAGGCGTTAATGGCCAATTTGAGAAGAAATTGCCTAATGAAGTAACCTATAATAGTATGACACGTGTCCTTTTATTTGATCGGTGGAGAAAAATTAGGTGCCGTTTGGATGGCAACTTCCTATATAATAATCCAACTAAAGTAGTTGAGACATAATGATCAATCTATTTTATTTTATTTTTATTTTCCATTGAATGGTCGAGTATTGGAGTCTAACTAATTCAAATTCCTATCGCCTAGGATCCATTCGGATGTGATATTTGTTAGAATTTGACTAATTCAAATTATGCTAGGAAGTTTTTCATACTTTATCGTGACGTGAGTTATGAAAGGGGCAACTTCATATGTTTGATGGTTAATCAAAATAATTATTCTACCGATGGTAAATCAATCGAATGACCAGAAGTTTGAATCACACAACTCGATTTTAGGATACAATATCTCTAAGGTATAAACTTAAAAAATTAAACTTTACGGTACTAAAGTCAAAATCTTAAAATTTGAATTGAATAGATTGAACTTAATTGCACGTTATTCTGAAGTTTTGAATTGAAAAATTTAACTTAAATCGATAAGAAGAAGAAGCAACATTTGACCACTAAATGATGTCATGCAGTAGACAGAATTATTTTTCTCTTGATCAGAGATCTCGATTTTGAGCCTATTGTAGTTGTGTATGGAAAAACTCTTGATAGGTGGCTTTTCCCATGAATGAGCTCCATACATCACAACAAATTAATCGAACTCCAATATGAGTATCATTTACGGTATGAAAAAATAAAAATAAAACAATATCTATATTACTTGACTTTGTGTTTAGGAGCTTGCTTGCTGAGTACCGTGTTGTTTGCTACTCACCCCTTGCTTCTACATTTGTGTAGGTTACAAGCCTGGATCTTTGTGATACCCTCTCTTCTCTTCATGTCTAAGGTTTCCTGTGGATATTTGTGAGGTAGTTGTTTGTCATCTCAGCTGACCTTCTTATTCCTATTTATGATCTTGTTCTATTTTAGAGACAATATCATTTGAGACTTGTATTTTCTTTCAAAACAATTATAATACATTAGAAACTTATACACGTGACAACCAGATTTTTGGGGTATTATGAGTATCAAACTTATCCAAATTTATCTTATTGTGACTTCGTTTTGCACATTTTATCTGTTAAATTGAATTTCAGGCTAACTTATCGTGGTGTGATAAGACAAGTGTCATCACGTCTATTTTTGGATCGTGACATTAACCACCTTATATATTACACCTAAATCGCAAAAGAGGCCTTGGTTTCAAACCTTGTGTATAAAAAAAAAATACTTGATGTGTCGCATTTCTCACAAATGATCTTTATGTGGTGCGAATCCGAATTAATCAAACATTAAATAGGATTATTTTTTTTAAAAAAAAGAAGAGAAATATGTGGTCATCTATTAAACTCGGCTAAATCTCAAATATTTGCTTAAAACATAAACAAACATCATAAAGTGGCTATCTTATGCAATATTCTCTCTATTTCTACAAAATCCATCTATGTAAAGTAGCTCACTCATAATTGATCGGAAAAAATCAGCAGCAAATTCTCAGAGCACTGATAATGGCTCCCGTAGCTCCCAGATCCGGCGACGCCATTTTCGCCAACGTTGAACGAGTGGTAAGTTTTCCTTCACTTTGAGATTTTTAGACTAAATTTGAGATTTTTCCGGTTAAATTTGAGATTTTTTCGATTAAATTGGAACGAGTGGTACTAAATGTTGGATTAATTTTGTGGGTTTTCGGTAGAATGCTGAACTTTTCACCCTAACGTACGGTGCGATCGTGCGACAACTGCTTACTGATCTGGAGGAGGTTGAGGAAGTCAACAAACAGCTTGATCAAATGTAAATCTTTACTTGTATCTTTTTTTACCTCAAAATTTGTACCCTTTGGGTTGCATCCCAATTTATGTGATGTAGTTTTACCGGACACGAAGTTTAATAGTAAGAAATATGGTAAGACTTTGTAATGTTTCAACTATACTCAAAATAAATAATTTTTAAATAGAAGAGTGTGCAGTATAAATTGGGACAGAGGGAGTAGTTCGTTGTTTTGTTAGCCTTATAGAACTTCGAATTGAACTCCGTCTATGTGATCTGAAGCATAGATAAAATAGGAAAGAAATCACCTAGTGTTTTTGTCTCACAGTTATAGTATATGAGGGAGAGAAAACTAGGTAATGTGCTAATTAGTTTTCTAGGTTGTGGGTTTGTTTTAGTTGTTTTGTCAGTGTTATAGAACTTCAAATTGAACTTCGTCTATGTGATTCGATGCCTAGATAAAGAGGAAGGAAATCACCTAGTGTTTTTGTCTCCATTTTGTTTACTATAGTATTTGAGGGAGAGAAAACTAGGTAATGTACTAATTTGTTTTCTAGGTTGTGGGCTGGTATCGTTGTTTCGTTAGTGTTATAGAACTTTCAGTTGAACTCCGTTCTATGTGATCTGAAGCCGATATAAAGGAGGTTGAACAGCTGACCATACATAATGTAAATCCTTGTCTAGTTTCCCCCATCAAAAACTGTGGTTAAAATGTACTATTTGTTTTCTAGGTTGTGGGTTGGAAATAGTTGTTTTGTTAGTGTTATTGAACTTCCAATTGAACTCTATCTATGTGATCCGAAATCCAGAAAAAGGAGGAGAGTTAAGGTTTAAGTGAGAAGAGTCTATTAATGATGTATCCTATGAAATGAGCTTAAATGAAGAAGTTGGGTTCATATAAGCCGACCCCAACTTGTTTAGAATTGAGGCTTATTGTAGTTGTTGTATTGATGAATCATGGAATGGATCCAGAGGATGCATATATAGTTGACTTTAGTTAGGATTGAGGCATAGTTGATTGATATTGAATGTAATTGTCTGTGGCAATTTAATTTAACTGTATTGACTCGGAAGTACACAAAATTTGAGAAGTTTAACTGATTGCAGGGGTTATAACATTGGAATTCGGCTCATTGATGAGTTTCTGGCAAAATCTAACGTTTCTAGGTGTATTGATTTCAAGGAAACAGCTGAAGTCATTGCCAAGGTCTCTCTTCCCCCTCCAAGTTGCATTATATTTAAATGTGTGTTGGTTTATTATGAAGTTTCAGTTTTATTTTGGAATAGTAGTTCTGAATTCTGATATCCCACACTTGCCAGTAGCCAATACAAAACAGAGTTGTTCAAAAGTATCAGAAGGAATACTATGGAGGTATAAATTTTAATCAATGTTATGGAGGTTAATCACTGAGATGTGATTAAATGGAATGACATGGACAGTGAAGATTCATATAGTCAACCCCAACTTACTTGGATTGAGGTGTTGTTCTTATTGTTGTTGTTGTTGTTAATGTGGCAGTAGATTTGAAATTGAAGTAAGAATTGAGGCAAAAATTTGAAACAAGTATCTTGCTCTGGAAGCTGTACTGTTATGCTGACTGCCAAAGCCTTATTCTCAAATAGTCTTTTAGCAGTCTGACTTGAACAACGAAGTTGGTCATTTGGTTGTAATCCTCGGTTTCTCTATACAACTGAATAACTACTTCTCCTTTTCCTCTTTAAAGGGGGTCATGTAAATAGTACGTTAAGTGAAGAGAAAATGCATAACAGAGCATATATATTTTACAGAATTAGCTCTTCATTTTTCAAGTCTCTTTATAGTACATAAACAAAGAGATGATCAAATTAGAAAAGAAAATGTATACAAGAGCATAGCTTCTTTCTTTTTTTAACAGAGATTCATGCCACCATTTTTCTTCAATCATTTCAAAGTTGAGAAATATAGTTAACCACTAAAAAAGTTAGAAACTATGAGAGATTTGTGTGAGTGTGTGTGTGGTGGTGGTGGGGGTGGGTGGTAAATCATCTTCTTGACTCATGGTTCTTTCTTATTTGCATGTTGTCATCACTAGAACACACATTTTTTTCTGTATTGTGAGAATTCATCATGAATTGACTAGTTAGCTTTTATGTTGATTGTCAGCCAACTACGACCCCCACCACCACCCCTACCCCTACCACTACCACCAACAACGACCTAGCCTAAAATCGACAATACGAACTACTAAAAATTATGAATTTTAGTGATAGATTATGTAGCTAAATCTCAAAATTCATTGCTAGTCCTATTTATCAACGGATTATCAACAAGCTGTGTTAGCTATTAACTATAACTATAACTAATTTCATTTGTTGTTTTTTTTGTGTATAATGAACATTTTCACATTAAACTAAGATGAGCTTAAATGAGACATTAAACAGTGAAAATTCATATAATCGACCTACGTAACTTGAGTGGAATTGAGTTGTAGTTGGTGTAGTACATAAACATGTAGAATCTTTCTTATTAGTACACAACTTCAACTATATTGGTCTAATTGTAACTTATATATGAAGGGGTTATACCATTGTTAAGGTTAATATATCCACTAGAAAATATTCTATTAAGCAACCATTAATACTTATAGCAGGGCAGATTGTTTATATCACACTTCTAATGGTGCGATTTTTTTCCAAATTCTGTGTGAACGTAAAATGCTTTGTTCCCCTTTAATGTGACTATTGATATATATATGTTTATATTGGATGAATTAGGTGTTCCATGGACAGAAGAGGAACATAGAAGATTCTTAAATGGACTTGAAAAGTTAGGTAAAGGAGATTGGAGAGGAATTTCAAGAAATTTTGTGACAACAAGGACTCCAACTCAAGTTGCAAGTCATGCTCAAAAATATTTTCTAAGACAATCAAGTCTCAACAAAAAGAAAAGACGTTCAAGTCTTTTTGATATGGTAAATATATTATTTTTGGATTATTGACACACCTAAAAAAATTAGATATGAACTTCGTCGCTTATTTGTTAGTTTCAATACTAATAGAATTATTTGATAATTCGTTGCTAAATAGAATGAAGAATGAATTTTATTGTTTAGCTATAGAATATGTCTGTAGTTAACTCTTGCTTTTTAGTAGTGAATTTGCTTAAGTAGAAATTTTGAGGTATTATATCCATAGGAAGTAAGCAATGTTGTTCGGATCTTTCAAATATATTGTCATACACCAATGGTGCAGCCAACTTTGTCCTAAGTGGTGTCTTCAACTTGAAAAGTTACATTGCGTAAATAGGAAAAAAAAATTAAATGGATATATACTTTCGTGTGTTTACTGTTTTATATTTTAACTCTTTTTAGTGAAAAATTTGACTTCACTACTATCACACACATATGTAGCACTACTAAAACAAGTAAATTTTCAACGACTCATCGAGCCAATTCCCAACGAACACATGTTCTTTTAGTAGCATCTAATCCTAGAATATAAATGCATTTAGAGGATCGAACTAGGGTGCATCTTGATTTTTGAAGAATCTGAGCAACATGATTATCTTATAATTGACCTGATTATGTAAATATTTTTTTTGATATACAATTAATTACTAACTCTTTTTTGTTATTATGATATAGGCAAGGAGCAACAACAAATATGTAGATTTTGGTCATAATTGCCAAGAAGATGGTCAAGAAATTACAAGATCATCTCCATTAGATCTAAATTCATTTGGAGAAAAGTGTGAAAATTCTATTTGGAGTTATGGATCACAAAATTCTCATCACAATAAAGTTCCAAATAAGTCCATTTCTTCAAATGGAACTCTTGATTTGGAGCTAAGTCTTTCATCTCCAAGAAATAATATTGTGGAAAAAAATAATTCATCATCCTCCAAAACTACTTTCATGAATATTGGACCAATTAGAGTTACCTAACTTGTACTAATTAAAGTCCTTGTTTAGTTAAAAGTGACTTTATTATTAGAGTTTTTAAGTGATTAATTAATTAGCACCACTGTATATTGTTTCTTCTTTTCTTTTTTTCCAAGGTAAAAAAAAAATT